GCTGTCAGCTACGCCAACAACGAAATGGAAAGTTCTCCCAACCTCACGAGCTCATTGCACGTTGGTTCGTGCTCGCACTAAGTGTAAGATAACACAACAGGTATCACTCGCTCTGATTTTGCATCCTATCGAGGCTACTGAGCGCTGTGTCACAGAGATACGAACACCAATGTTGCGAAGCATCCATCACCACCGAACGCAGAGTCCATTGGCAAAGCCTGTACAATGTGCATCGTTGATGAAGCCGAGTCAATAGCTGGGAGTAACTATGATGTAGATGGAAACACTGGTGTATAAATGCTATTGCCCTTTTAGTTAGTTAGAATTGGTAAGCGGCTCGCTAGATACATTCTTAGCACAGTTCTTAACCAAAATTCCGGCGCAGTGATAATTATCAGGGTCATAAACCAATGACTAGACACCACTTGCTGGAGTAAGAAAACCGTCGTCTCGGTGTGTACATCAATTGCACCGGTAGTGGTGTACGTCTGACTGTTGATCGATCGCGACTCCGATATTGACTGTACAAGTATGCGTGTTGATATATCACGTGACCAACGAACAACATGGTGTCCTGCATACAAGTGGCTCAGACAAAACTTGCAGTAGTTTAAAACACCGTTGAATGTGCATTTTTCAACGTTAGATTCCGAGAACGATTACCGACTGACAATGATATCTCACATTCGTGAGACCCAATTAATTGAGTTGTACGCTGTTTTTTTTACATCCCATGAGAACCAGGAAAACAATCAGGGTGCTGAAAGATTATAGATTGTTTTGTAAACATTTCGGATCATATTTCGATGGGGTTGTGCTCCCATAATATAGTATTCAGTATGGACAATACACACCAGAGCAAGATTGTTTGTCGATCATGTGTTTTCCTCAATTCCAACCACGCGCTTGTGTGCACAGAGATTGTGATCCTTCCACCGCGCTAGACGAACAAGGCATTTTACAACTGGATCGCTAGTCATTCTCATTTAAAATCCGTGAAATATTAATCAAAATATACACATTCGAAACAGGATTTTATGCGAAAAAGTGGTATAATCCTCTGTACGATGATTTCTGCTCCGCCGAGAATAAAACATTAATTATTTATTATAATAATGCGTCGGTGAACAGGAAGTAATCAGAAGGAAGAAATAATTAGTAAAAACCGGGCAAATCCTGGACCTGGTGCAACATCGATTTTTCGAGTTCTCGAAGAACACGCTTGATACAATGTTGCAATAAGGGAGGATGGCAGTTAACCTCATCGTACGTGTTTACGGTAGCACTTGGATGTGGTGGCTGTTTCAGAGAAATTGCTGTTCATTCTAAAATCGCTATACCGCGACTCTTGGTATACGAGGAGCTTTATCAACAGGATATCTTTAATTACTAGTTGGTAGCAAGCAGCAGTGTTATGTTCGAACCCGTTTAAAAATCTACACCGTGCCTACTAACGGCCCCATGAGAGGAAGAACAGAGCTGCGGGAAAGAAACGAGCAATCATTTCAAGTGCACCGCGGAAGGTTTTCGTCAAATGCAGAGTGGAATTTATCACAACTAAATTTCTCACTGTTGCTCGTTCAGTCGCATTGACCTAGCGAAGGATACTTGAAACACAAAGGGCTGACCAGGTTAGCGATCCTCTGTGCGTTACCATAGCAAAGTGATTGGCCACTTGTTTGAGTACAAGGCCAGACGATTCGTGGCCGTAAGCCAATAAGAGAAACATGGAGGGACGAAGACCCACTTGGGATCAAGACCTACGGCATTAATGAGAAGCGCCTACCATAGGCAGCTCGGATCATCAACCTGGATATAATTAGTGATTCCTAAAAATATCTGAACGCTAAAAAATGTGCCAGAAAAAGGACTAAAGCCTCGGCGATAAATCCAAAACTCCCTCGAAAAAAAACACCATACAAATGTAAGGAAACCGCTATAGGACTATCCAATGCTGGCTTAGATTATAAGCAAATGTAAATCGAATAAAGAATGAAAGAGAAAGCGCCACGATGGTTAGGGAGCGCCCAGGAGTTTGGCAAAATACCGAAACCGGAAGAAGCGGAGGCACAGTAGTGGATCGCTCACTAAAGTGCGCCTCCGAAGTCCGGGGCATCGGAACTGAACTAACAGAAGGCGTGAGTTTGTGCGAATTTGAACATAAAATCCGAAGATGTTTGACAAGGTAGAATCGACTGTTCACTGCGATGTGCTTGAATCATTTCTACGGGATCACTAATACGTCTGTTTCGTGTTAAAAAAACGGGCCACCTTTGGAGTGAGATGAAGCTGAGACCGAACATCATGAAAGATTTCGATGAGATGTAAAACACTGATGGCCTGAATGTGTCACAAAACACCGGCCCGGCAAATTAGCACAATTTATTATGGTAAATGCATCGGACCAGAGTGAACGGTTGGGGGCACGCATGTGTTGAAGGTAGGTGGACAGACAACGAGTCATCGATAGGCGGCACAAACCTACGTGACCAATCACGAGCTTAACGAATTGGAGACATGCGATTACACGAAGGCACAATTCGACCACATACAGCGCAGTGAGACGCAAATCGATTAACTTACAAATCAATGCCCAGCCAAAAGCATAGTGATAAATTAGTTAACTTGGTCAGTGAAGCGACATCAGTGGATAGATCGATAGGTGTGAGAAACGGTCGCACGACGGATCGCAACTAGTGTGCGGCGCACACCGGAGCTTGGGGTTGCTACCGGAAACAGTAACTGATGCTCGGGTTGGAAGCCCGTAGACGATTAGTCGGCAAAGTCACAGAGGCGTGTTCAATGCCACTCCGAAAGATGTAGTCAGCAATGGGATTAGTATCATCTGTAAGTTATAATATCACTGTGATCCACCATTGCCATGGTCGCCTGGATGGTGAAGTTCACTTGCAGAGGATACAAATGCCATGATGTATTATAATGGCTAACCTCTCTTTTCAAACACAGTGAACGATAATGAATAAACAGTCTGGGATAGAGCAAGTGAGACAGGCAAAAGGTATGTGAAGCCTGAGGTCATTCATAGACAGCGGACTAGGCTCAAGTGCTACCGCGGGTTGAATGCTCAAACGAGAAAACCCGCGCAAGAACGATCAAACGGTAATCACGAAAACGTAACGAAAATATCTGTGAAAAGTACAGCCGACGTTAGCAAATGGGACGAAAAGTTATTTATGTCTTGGACGACTTTAATTCGTAAAACCCAATCGCAGAGAGGAAGATAATTACATTCAGTCGAAAATGAAATTTGGACAATGTACAGGTGGAGACAAAAGTCTCACATTTGGAGATGTCGTAGTGTGCGTGGCCGAAAGGGAGCATAAGACGCCGGGAGAACCCGGTGTATAGTTGGGAGTAAAATACACGAAGACGTGGGAATGGGGTCATCGTAAGATGCGCTGGCACACGTATGAATACACTCGGACAGAGCTAGTGGATAAGAACAGTACGAAAACAGACGATAATGCAAGCCAAGTGAACGGAACCGAGCATGAGTGGGCACACTGTGTAGGGACGTGGAGACACATATACAGGGCCGAAGTGGAAGCGAGGGCACAGAAACCCGGAGCACAGGTCATGAACGCCATGTACAAGCGAGGGGATGACACTATGCAACACGACCGACAACCAGAGACGGCAAAGACTGGGGACTTGAAGTTACACCAGTCGCTGAGCGACCATGCGGCTAGGAATCTTAAAATTAAGTGCAAAGCAAGTGCTGGAGTGAAGGAAGGAGTTGTCTTGGGGACGAGTAAATGTGGGGCTGTGTATGCAAAGTACAATAGCAATATCTGGTCAAGAAAAAAAACGGAAAAAAGCATGATTGTGGGATCAAACGGGCTGGAAACAGGACGGTAACAATAGCAGCGCTTGGCACAAGGTGGGACAAAAGAGTAGTGCAAAGGTGGGTGCCGCCATGATCAAGGAACCGAAAATTACGCGAAGCATTACATTTCTCAGTTAGGAGCTTGCAGGATGGTCCAGAGTGCGTTTGTAATCAAGAATACATCATGTGCATAGAGGCGGATAGACGCCGGTCGTAGCGATGCCCAGTGCAGTGAAAACAAACAGAGTGAAATCGAGCAGTGGATGCCGAGTAGTTAATGTACACAGAGAAATGGCGACAGCAGAAGTTGAGGAATTCAGAATGGAAAAGTAGAAGACTGTCACTGACAGGCACTGAGATTGCGGCAATCACCGGATTGTGAGGGAAATTTATACTGATTAAGTATGATGGGAGCAGGGTCTAGACAATAAGCGGTCAAGGTCACGGAGGCCGCAAGGAGTGTTGGAAAGAGGCGAGGGGTTATGCGTACTTCGTTCGAGATAATGAGATTGCAAAATCAAAGGTGATCAGTTTAAACCTGAGAAGGGAAGGGGCTGGTTTCGGCTAATTTGTACCCAAAGAGTGGTACGGAAGAGAACTGAGTAGAAAAGATTGAAAAAGAAGTGAAGAATTCGACGGCGGATTGTAAGAGAGAAAAGCGAAAAACTATTCCCACTGAACGCAACAGATAAATAGATACAAATGTGTAGAAACAGATAGCAGAGTAAAAGATGGATAATCGTGTGAGTGCTTAAAAAACAGGATTGTGAAAACGATTCTCTGTCGCGGGTGGTGGGAGGCAGCAAAGTATAACGGGAGGTGAGATGAGAAGATGGACAACGCTGCAGAATGACCATGTGTACATATCACCAGTAGTAGTAGTGGTAAGAGAGTGAGAAGAACTGGATGAGAGACAGTTGTGCTTGCGTCTCGAAAACAACCACTGAAAGAACCGGGCCAAAGTAAATTCCGAATGCGACACTGACACTACTGTGGGAATGCAGAAACACCTCTGGTACGATAGAGGCAAAGGTCCAATGCTCGTCGACACAAGTGCACTCAAAAACACGCACGCAGGCCTGAGTGGAGGCAGACGCTGAGCAAAAGGGGATGGATGCGTCGGTGATTTCAGTACAGAGAAACACAGGAGGAACTACTTTCGTAGGTCAAGTACGAAAACCTGTGTGAAAAAGAGAAATATGTTATCAGGACCGCTGTCAACAAGCGTTAGAAAACGCAGTGGCGGAAAGTAAACCTGGAAAATGAATATTTCGACAAAAAAACAACGAAAATTACCGAGTGACGAGTTCAAGTGAAAATGGGTTGTATGTAAGCCAAGCACATAGTAACTTATATGCTGAGAAAAGTGGGCAAGTAGGATACTCAAATGAAAGTAGCGCATTGAGTGCAAGTATAAGGCTTCGGATCCACAGTCCACAACTCACCGAGCCATCCGATGCGCTAGCGCCCACTTTATCGCCCCGTGAATTCCAGCAAACTTCAAAGATGCCTCCTGTGCCAAAATAGCTGCTAATGAGGCTCCCGGACTAGAATGTAAAAATGGGAAGGATCAAAAAATGACAGGAAAAATATGATAGGTGATGGGCTCGTGGAAGGTGAAACTGGATTGGTATGCAGTGACTTCAGCAAGGGAGAAAGACAACGCATAAGACAATAGTAATGGAACAGACAGATAATTTCAGACAAAATACGAACATACAGAGGCAAATCACAGAATAGCATTGGAGGACAATGACTAGGCTACAGCGTGATATTGTCAAAAAGGTAGAATACTATTCAAATGTGAAATAGTAATTAGCATTTACGAGGAAAGTACAGTTGACGGTTTAGTTCACGCGTACCGTAAGCACAACAGTAATAAACAAAGATAAGAGTAGAATGAAAGCTAAAAAATGCAGCTGGAACAGAATGCTAAAAAGGCGCAAGTGGTCAGAGAAAGTGATAAACGGCTAGAAGTGGCGGAAGGAACTAGGAGACCCACTACAGTTGCGGATGTGCTACGAGATGTAGTACTTACGCAGCAATACAGCCGTTGAGTTAATAACTCGTAACCCCAATAAGTAACGTGGACAAAAACAGCCGACGAACGCGCTATCCGCAGACTTCATCATGGTGAATCGCAAGGTAATACGACTGTCGATTAATTACGGAGACCAGGATAAGTATATTCGTTTGAGTAAAAAAGTGTATACGGATGAACACGCTGGAAGACGACCGTGTGAACAAGTCTCTGATAAAAATGGCGTTGTCTCCGGTGTCCTAGTTATGCCCTAGCTTTAAAAAATATCTAACCTCCACAATACCCACTAACGATCGACTATGGAAGTGCACCCTGACCTGAAAGCTGCATTCGACTCTATTGATCGAGTTAGTTTGTGGCACCACTTACCTGCAAAAGGAGTGAGTGGGAAACTCACTTTAATCCTTAGATCAACCAATCGATGACAAGTACGAGCCTTAGTCGACAAAATTTAGTGCAATCTGCTATCCTATGGAGCAAGCCTGATTATCACTGTCCAGTACTCGTCTATGTACATAATCGTTGCAGACACCCTGGTGCCAATAGACACCCGTAATGTCGCGCAAGCAGCGATGGTAAAAGAATTGAAGGCGCTTCAGCTCCCGACATGGAAGGGACAAAGACCCAATACCGTACAGTAAGACGGCCCTCACTGTGGTCTTGTAAACACGGCTTTACAGACTAAGGGATCTTATCTGACGCCACAGATTCAAGAAGACAGCTCTAGCTTTTGCAGTAGTGGTATCAGCAGTCTAACAGAGCCAACAAAACCATAAAGAATAGCAGATAAGAGATATAGTCGCCGCGTCATCATCATCACGGCAGAGTAGTTGAAGATAAGAAACATACTTCAGCCACTGTGCCGCAGGAAGAAAGGGACAGTTTTTATTGTTTCACGTGCCACATTTTTAACCATTTTAACTATCTGGCATTGAACGTCTAAATCTAACCAAGAGCTATGCCTCTATATCTGTATGCATTACCCCATTTCATTTATCTTGTCGTTTCAAGTGATTGGCTGTTGCTTGATATCCCCGGTGTGGCTGCGCTTGATGTGCATGTTGACAAGATGCCTACGTGTCTGTTACCCACTACGTGGTCCATACTGGCTCCAAGAGACAGTTGGTCGTTGCTGGAGAGGACGGAGCGCACGGTCCTCGTGGCCGTGTTAGGATCAAAGAGTAGTTCTATGCACTCCGTGTGGAGCGGACTACGATCCAACCACCGCTTTGTGTGCGGTTGATGCCCCAAATACAGCGTATTTGTGTTTGCCTGTGAAGGAGTGTGGGCCGGCTCCGTTGATGGAACGTGGCTCCCATTCACATGCCATCCGATGTTATTCCTTCGGGTTTACATTGGATATGGGGTGGGTGGATGGAGCTGTGGGTGGTGCATCGCAAGCCAATCATGGTCCCTATGTAGGCGCAAGCATCTTGTGGCTGGCTACAGTGACAGGCAAATCCGAAACCGGATGCCGTTGACTATTATATATATATATATATATATATATATATATATATATATATATATATATATATATAATGTTGCTCGAACAAAGGGCATATAGAACGTTTACATATCTCACGGAAACATTTTTCCGTGAAAATATTTCGAGCATAATGGATGGGTCGAGTGAATCGAACACACTCTTGAAGTCGAGGAACACATCTATTGTCGGTCTACTAAACATGTACTGCTGCTCTAGCAACTACCGCCGTGTGATGATGCGATCTTTATAATCCAGTCCTTGGTGGAAACCTGATTGCTCCTCCCTAATCCGAGATTCCCGTTCCGCAGTGAAGCGACGGACAAGAATTGGGGCTAATAATTTTGTCAGCAGCGGCTTTACGCAAATACCACTGTGGTTAGGACAGTCAGTGCAATTGTACACTGCTGCTATGATCGATTCACTCCTGTTATTTAGGATGGCCTCTTCCTTCCAGACCTGTTCGAACAGGGAGGTCAGTGGTTTGCAGAGAGTCTCACAACCATCCTTAAGTAGTGCGGGTGGAAGGGAATCCGGATCACCAGCTCAGAAACTTGTTAGGACTGTGATCACGTTTAGAGCCCTTTGCATTTGATAGATCAAGTTGGCTAACGACATGGTTGTGCCTGCACCTTCTGAGCAGGAGGACGTCCAGCAGCGATGAGCCAACTAAACTGCGATCGTGAGTGCTCTACTCAACGAGCTGTGCGGCGCTTCTAGTTGTGAATTCCGGCACTCGCGCATGGTCTGATTGTCTCAGCCACGTTTGGTTTTCCGAGACCAGTAGTGCGGATCAGTTGGAAGAGCTTGTGCTGATTGCCCATGGATCCTAACCCCCCCCTATTACTTGAGCGCTACTAATGCACCAGACGACCTTGTCAGCACCCAGGCTCCGGTTTAGTTTGCGCCTAATGGCTTCTCTAGTACCATTGTTCTCAAACTCAGGGTCCCCAGCATGAACAAAGTATCACATCAGCTTTGTATCGAACGAAGAATCGTAAACTTATGGAATACACTACCAGAAGGATTAATAGAGGCCGATTCTGTGAAGTGTTTTAAAACCCGTATCGACGATTATTTTGGAAACCTGTGCTTTTGTGAAACGATGCACATACAGTGCCAAAAGAATACATTGTATGTCCGGAAATAATGACGCTAGTACAAATTTCTAACCGAACACGGATAAACGATCAACAGACCAGACACAACTGCTGATAATTCACAAGTAAATTTTGATTTTTCGTAATTCGATAGAGTTGTACAGAAACCTTTCTACTTGCTCTTAAATACAGTCTCAGTCTCAGCTAGTCAGGAGTTTTCTTTTGGATTCCAACAGATTCACCGACCTCTTGTATATCTATGGGCGGTGCGGTGACGATTGATAGTGCCGCAAGCAGACTCCTATATCATGCATTGCGTTCGAGATTCTATTCCCCTAAATCTCAGGATCACTAGGATAATAAATCGAAAGTTCGGTGCGCAGGGCATCCTGGTAGGCTTGCCCGACAGAAGATTTATATAAGGTCACAGCTCCCAATCGAAGGAGTTGTTTGGTTCGACTTTCGGTATGGTTCATGGGAAAAGTCAGCCTGTAGCCTAGAGGTAACGAGCTTGTCACGTAATCTTGCGGCGCATGTTCGAATCCGCGTGGGGGTGGGCGTCCGCGCGTTATACTCAGTCCGCGTGCGACTGGTGGTGGTCGCACGGCAGCAAAGCGTCGTTACGGCATACAGCTGATAGATTATTATTGTTATTATTACTAATGTTAAAACGACAGCGTACTAAGATATGAGCAGAATCGACGCAAGTATTTAAGAACGAGCGGCAATTCAGAATGGAGGCACGTACATGTAAAGTATTGCAACACGATCAGCTATAGGGAAACACGAAGAGGTATTTCGGCGCCTACTGTGCGTGAAAACGGTGCTGCTAAGAAACAATCGGTGCTCCGTACTCAGTTGTAAAAGATACTCGCCGTTGTCCATCCAGCTGAAGTCCATACTTGCCACCAAGCTGAGCATTTGAAGAACGAATACCTACTTGAGCATTCATAACCACTGCAATAACAGCAATACTCGAACTGGTAACACTGTGAAGCAGCGTGTTCAATTCGTGATAGTAGGTGACATTGGCATCATCAGAACTGCAGTCGGCGGGAGCACAAGCAAAAACCACAAACAAACCAGTGGCTAGTACTACCTCGTGAATCAACCCCAGTTTAGGTCGCCAAACAAACTGCACACAAACGGCTGCTTACAGGAATCCAACCAATCAGCCTTGGAGCTGAGAACGATGTCTACCTCAGCTTGACCAGTGCTTGTCGCATCAGCGTCTCCGGATGCGTGCAGCCAACAGCGGGATGGCGAATCGGGTGCAGTTAGTTAAACAATCACGTGAGAGTCATCAAATCTATTTTTGGACACAAACACATGGCGATAGCCAGGATACGCAAAGCGTGTGCTAGTGCCGTTTGTTGACCTATTCGTCTTAGCGTGAGAACGCTGTATGTAACCAGGGAAACGAGAGAGGGTGGGATTGAGGGACTGTTGTTGACAAGCGTCGGCTGGATGAGGAGCCATGAAAATAGCTGCAGGTGGTAGAACTACAGTGGCAATGCGGCTGCTGCTAATTAGGCACGGAATTATAGAAGGTCAGTAATGGGAGTCAGAAGGGAAGTAATGGGAACAAGTGGAAAAGAAAGGAAGCCCCAAAGGAAGAGGGAAGGCGTCAGCAATACCATATGCAACGGATAATGCGACCCTTGTAAAGCCGCGCGACAGCCTATATAAGATGGAGTTGAAGTTTGAAGAAATAGTCATGGTTATACGTGGGCTGTCAGAGGGCCCAGACAAAGACAGAAGAACGATTAGGGTGCTCAAACAAAGTCATTGGCTCAAAAGCCTGTCCACAAAGCAGCGAAGACGTGGCAGCGATACAGTTTTACAGAAATGGGCGTCATCCCATTTCCAACCTCCAAGCTGGAGGACCAGGTGACTGAGTTTGACTGACCTCTAACCACT